ACACACACACACACACACACACACACACACACACACAGGAAGGTGCCGGCTGCATCCCACGCTGCATGCAGAACGATTAAGAGGAAGCACTAAGAGGGTTCTAAATTTAAAAAACTCCAGACTCTTACTTTTAGTCTTGTCTGTTTTGGCACCAAACCACACACTGATAAGGGAGAGGTTGGGTCGTGAAACTTCTCGCTGAGATACCCTCTCCTTTGTCTTCGATGTGTCCCGCAGGCTACGGCCTCTGTGCAGCCAAGGCCCAGTACCCCATCGCCGACCTGGTGAAGATGCTCACCGAGCAGGGCAAGAAGGTGAGGTAGGTGCCGGCTGCCGGCCAGTCCGGTGCATGATGGTGGAAACAAGAAGCCAGCGCCCGTGCTGTGACGACTGGCCTGTAAAGGGCAGGTTGACATCGTTGATTCCAAGTGCAGAAGCTCTCCGCCCGAGGACTCGTCCAAGCAGCCTGATGGCACAGTGGTTACTTGGTGGCTGAGCCCACCGGGTACTCTGCAGGAGGAGGACGTGGGCATCTGCCTGGGTGGATGACCCGGGGAGGTGGCCCTGCTCGGCCCCACAGCGTCACCCGGCGTTGCAGTCTGCTCAGTCGCCATGCTGATATTTTATTGAGGGTTTTTTAAAATTTCTAATATCATGAACCCCACTAAACGCTGATTTATCTCAGAAAGGGAAATTTTATTATTTCAAATTCCAGGGCATTTATTAATGGGGAAATAAAACAGGCATCTTGGTCCTCTGTGATTTGATGTGGAGGAGGAGGAGGTCAGAGTATCTGAACCATGTCAAATTGTGTCTCTGTGGTTTCTGGCGTCCACAGTGAAGGAAAACAGAAGGTCTGAAACACGCGGCCTGTGAAGAGCGAGGCCCGCAGTAAATGTAGAGACCGGTTGCTCTTTTGCTGACGTGGCTTTCAGATCCTGAGGGTGGGAACGACGGGTGAGGTGTCCTTTCCTCATAGAAGAGGTTCTTACAGTGAGTAAGAGCAGCTGCTCTCCCTGGACATGAGACTCCGCCCCTGGCCAGCAGGTAGGGTCTTGAGCAGGCCGGCAAAGTGGAGGGCTGTGTGCCCCAGCTGGCCCCACGAGCTTTGGTGAAGAGTTAAGAGGAACGTAGAAATGGGCTTAACTTAGGGATCAACTCGTTGGCGAGAGTAGAACTTGGCTTCTGTCCTCGTCACCTTAGGCTTCTCATTCTGGAGCGCTGATGTCCCAGAGGAGTCCCAGAAGAGACTGGGTCCTACCGGGTCTGCTCCTTGTATGGTGGGTGGTACACTTGCTCACTAGCAGTGGTGGTGACTCAGAACAAGACAGACGCTCAAGATGCCATCATGACACAGCACGACTGTGTTCTCCAGGACATTATTAGCACCTGCCGACCAGGGTAATGGCTCTGCGTAAAAGTCCCCTTTGACGGTACTCTTTATATTTTAGATAGAGACGGATGGTAAGAAAAGAAACCAAGTAGTAAGCCTAGAACTAAGCAGAGGCTCTGTATCAAGACTGGGTACACAGTCCTGATCTTTGTTTTGAGGTTTCCAGTTGTTTAAAGAGGTCAGAGTGGTTTAGATAATGAAATCCGAGATTTGTGAAAAGGTTTTTGTGTCAGCAGAGTGAATATGTTGTGGTTACCATGTACCATCAAGTCACAACTGTCTCCTAGCTGGTCCTCTGGCGTGTTTTCAGAGGAGGCCGCCCGTTTTTTTCTCCCGCAGGGCAGCTCGTGGGTTTGAACCACGTGCCTTTGGAGCAGTAGTGCAGTTTCTTAGCACTAAACCATCAGGGCTCCCTAATGTGTCCCGGTGTATGAACAGCTGTGTTTCTGCCTGGCTTCCTTCTCTTCTCTTGCTTTATTCTTCTCTCATTCCCTCCCCTTTCTGTGGTCCCGGTCACTCCCTGTATTTCAAATCCATGGAGTTGGGCGTGCTCTCAGTTGTATTTTACTGTGTATTTGATGTCGATGACTTCTGTGTTTGTGTTGTTAGGGGCTGGAGTCGAGCACGACTCACAGTGATCCTGTGAACAAAAGATCTGAACCCTGTTCTGTCCTGCGCCATCCTCACACTTCCTGACACACAAGAGCCCGTGGCACCAGTCACCGTGTCAGTCCATCTCGTAGGTCTTCTACTCCTTCATCGACCCTCCACTCTTCCCAGCAACATGTCCCTCTCCAAGGAATAGCATCTCCCAGCAACATGCCCAAAGTATGTGAGGCGAAGCCTCACTGTCCTTGCCTTCAAAGAGCACTCCGACTGCACCCTCTCCAAGACCTATCTGTTTGCTTTCTTGTCCATCCATGGGATATTCAGTGCTTTTCTCCAACACCACAGCTCAAAGACGTCAGTTCTTTTTCTGTCATCCTTATCCATTGTCCAGCTCTCAGATGCGTAACAAGTAATCGGAAAGACCGTGCCCTGAATTAGACACACCTTAGTCTTCAAATTGACATTACTACTCCTCAGTAATTTGGAAAGGTCCCTAACTGCAGATTTTCTTAGTGGAATGCATCTCTTTATTTCCTGACTACTCTTACAAAGAGTGTTAATTGTGGATCCAAGCAAGATGAAGCTACTGACAGTCTCAATCTCCTCTCCATCCATCATGAAGCTGCCTATCGGTCGAGTAGTATCTCTTTTTCCTGACATTGAGGTGCAATCCATACTGAAGCCTGCTTTCCTTGATCTTCTGTAACAAGTGCTTCAAGCCCTCCTCACTTTAAGCTAGCAAGGTTGGGTCATCTGAATAGTGCAGGTTGTTTATGAGTCTCCCTCCAATCCTGATACCACATTCCTCCTCATAGAGTCCAGCTTCTTGGATAATTTGCTCACCATATAGATTGGATAGGTATAGAGAGAGAATGCAACCCTGGTGTACTCCCCAGTTCCAAGCCCTGCAGTGCTTATGTGCTCTGTTCACAAAACAACCTCTTTGTCCAAATATAGGTTCTGCATGAGCACAGGTCAAGTGCTCTGGGATTTCCATCCTTCTCAATGTCAGCCACAACTTGTTATGATCCACACAGTCAAATGCCTTTGTATAGTCAGTAAAGCACAAACAGATATTCTTCTGGTATTTCTTACTTTCAGTTAGGAGCCCTCTGACATCAGCAGTGATATCTCTGGTGCCACAGCCTCTTCTAAATCCTGCATGAACTTTTGACAGTTCCCTATCAATGTACTGTTCCAATAATTTTTTTTAATCATCTTCAGCAGTATTTTGCTTGCATATGATAGCAGTGATATTGTTCAATAATTTCCACATTCAGTCGAAGCACCTTTCTTGAGAATGGGAACAAAGATGTATCTCTTCCAATCCGTTGGCCAGACGGCTGTCCTCCAATTTTACTGGCTTAGACTGGTGAGTGCATCCAAGGCTGCATCTCTTAATTGAAACAAGTCAATTGGTATCCCATGGATTCCTGAGGCCTTATTTTTTGCCGGTGCCTTCAAGGGAGCTTCCACTTCCTCTTCATGACCTTTGGCTCCTATTTATATGGTACTTCCTGAAAGTTTTCAGTGTCAATCAGTTCTTTCTGGTACAGTGACTGTGTATTCCTTCCATCTTCTTTTGATTTTGTGACATGGAGCTTGAATTTGTTTTTCAGTTCTTTCAGCTTGAGAAATAAATTGTTCCCTTTTTATTTTCCAATTCTAGCACATTCCATTATAATACTTTTCTTGGTCCTCTTGAGCTGCTCTTTGAAATCGTCTGTTCCACTTTTTCACTTTGCCATGTTTTCCTTTAGTTTTGGGTTCTAGATGTTCCAGTGCAATCTTTCATCTCTCTTCTGACATCCATTTCCTTTTTTTTTTTCTCCTTTCATGTCTCTTCTGACATCCATTTCCATTTTGTAATGACATTCTGCTTTCTTCATGGCTGATACATTATCTCACAACTCAACTGGTCTTTGATCACTGGTGTTCAATGCCTCCAGCCTATTTTGAGATAATCTTGGATGAATTGAAGATGTTGTTGTTGTTAGTTGCCATCAAGTTGAGCATGACTCATAGCAACCCTATGAACAAAAGACCTGAATGAACCCTGTTCTGTAACTATTGTCATTTCTCTAGAGGCATGTTGTGTGGGAAGTGGATAGTGATAATCCTGGGCGAATTGAAGATAGCAGTGGGGAAACCGATTGGGTTTTAGGAGGATTTTCACGTTAGTTCCTTGTTCCTGCTTGCATGTGGGAAATGCAGCTGTGCTTCCCTTCTAGGTACGGTGGGGCCCCTTTGCAGACTGATAGGTGGAAAGAATGTATGTAAGAACTTGAACATTTTTTTTCTCAAAGAGAGATTGTTTTCCTTTATTTAATCCACATGTGAAAAGGTCCAGTGTATTAGTCACCCCATGAGCGTGAAGGAGCTGGGTGGCAATCAGCGTGGACTTGAGAGAGAAGGATGAGTCCCATGTGCCCGTGGTCCTCTCCGTACCCACCCCGTTGGCCGAGCTAAGGCAGATGTGCTGGGGATCAGGCCAGTGCCGGGTGGGTGGGTGCGATGAAAGAGCCTTGTCACTTGTAAAGGCAGCTTGAAGAGGCAGCACTCAAAAGAAGCTAGAGGGAGGGAGAACAATTATCTGAAAAGAGAAATGATTACAGAAAGGAATCTGACTCAGTTAAATGGAGAATTTTATCCATGACCACATAATACCACCTTCATGTACTCAAATCAGTTTTGTCACAGTGCATGGGAAAGAAATGACTTCAGATGGACTGGAAGGTATTTAAGTCTACATATGTAAATAGTTTCTCAGTTATAAATTATTGTTTTGTTGAAACAGCTTTGCAAATGGAACAATTTTTCATCATTTCATGTAATTGTTGACATGGATTTTTTTTTTTTTTTTGGTTTTTCTTTTTTGTCTCCTTACATAGATTGTTTAAAATAGTTCTCTTTTTCTACGTGATCAGATTACAATTCTCACCCAGTCTAGTCTGAGCATGAACTAGGAAAATGTATATTGATTTGTCTTTCCTTTGCACCTATTTCATGAAGAGCTTACTTGTTAATGTGAGATTTTTTTCCCCTGGAGTGTCTTGAATTTTCTGCCTGGACCTGGCAGTTAGGGAAATGTCAGTGGCTTGAGAGGAAAGAGGGGGTTCCCCTTGCCAACATGATGAGGGTGGGTGATAATCTTCACTTTTTAGCTTCTGTGTGGGATTCTCTCCCACCCCCCTTAATTTAAAGGGACTTAGAGAAGCTTTGTTGACTTTGCTTTATGTGGGGCATAATTTTTTCATGTGACAAATGCGGATTTTCTCTCTGCAGTGAGAAACACACATATGCACCGATGCTGGCTG